AGTCTTGCTCTGTTGCCCAGGCTGGAGTGCACTGGTGTGATCTCGGCTCACTGTAACCTCTACCTCCTGGATTGAACTGATTCTCCTGCCTTAGACTCCCGAGTAGCTAGGATTACTGGTGTGCACCACCCCACGTGACTGATTTTTGTATTTTTGGTAGAGATGGAGTTTCACTATGTTGCCCAGGCTGGTCTTGAACTCCTGACCTCAAGTGATCTGGCCACCTTGGCTTCCCAAAGTGCTGGGATTAAAGGTATGAGCCACCGCACCGGGCTGAAAGACATTCTTTAGTCCAAACTTATAAAAATCAGTCTGATGTCCTCGAAATGGCAATGCCTGCACCTCTAGAATAATCCATACATTAGGAGGTGTGCAGGCAGGACACTGCAGATGATCAAAGTTTTATTCAACATTATAGAACACTTAAAAATAAACAATATGCTTGCATTTCTGTTGTGTAACTTAGAAAAATGTTTTCAAGCACACATAAAAGCATCCAGTTTTACCCCAAACAAGTATGCTCTGCAGCCAGTCCCTAACTGCTGGGTTCAGCACTGCTCTCTACAAACGGCTGGGGTCGGAGGTAGGCTGCGGATGCCCTGCGGGCAGGTGGCTTTTCCTACTCGGAATGACGATGTCTTTTCTTGTTGTGGTTTTCAATCGCCCTTCTAAGTGCTTCATCCTGGACGAGATCCGACATTCTCATATCCGTGTGGCTACAGCCAATTTTAGGGCAACTGTAAGGGAGAAAGAACGTCAAGTCAGTCCCCTTTAATGTCTTAAGCAGAAAATTCTTTTACACTCAAGCATTTAAGTGAGGCATTTTACCAGAAAAGGAAAAGCGTTAAAAATCAGGACCAAAGTGTGCCCATTCATTTATTCACTGAGTCCCTCCCTGAACCAGGCCCTGTCCAGGTGCTGGGGACACAAGCAATACCAATACGTGAGTAGTGCCTACCTCATCATGGAGCTAAATTTTTCTTTTCTTTTTTTTTTGAGAATGAGTCTCACTCACTCCATCGCCAGGCTGGAGTGCAGTGGCTTGATCTCGGCTCACTGCAACCTCCACCTCCCAGGTTTCAGCAATTCTTGTGCCTCAGCCTCCTGAGTAGCTGGCACTCTGGCTAATTTCTGTATTTTTAGTAGAGCCGGGTTTCATCATATTGGCCAGGCTGGTCTTGAACTCCTGACCTTGTGATCCGCCCGCCTTGGCCTCCCAAAGTGTTGGGATTACAGGCGTGAGCCACTGTGCCCGGCAGTTTTGTGTATTTTTAGTAGAGACGGGGTTTCACCATGTTGGCTAGACTGGTCTCGAACTCCTGACTTTAAGTAATCCACCTGCCTTGGCCTCCCAAAGGCTAGGAGTTACAGGTGTGAGCCACCGTGTCCAGACTTGGATTTTATTTTAAATATGAAGATAAAATGCTGGAAGGTTTTGAGATGGGGGAGGGGTTTGGTTTGGTTTATATATAGAAAATGTTTCTCTGGCTGCTTATGGAGAACACAAAGCAGGGAGGTAACAGAGGGGCAGGGAAAATAGTGTGGAGGATCCCGCAGGTGCAGAAGAGAGAGGAGGCCAGCTCGGCTGAGGGTGGCAAGGCGATCAGCTTTAGGACACGCTTGACCGTGGAACCCATAGGACTGGCTGATGGAGCTTCCGTGGTGCGTGAGGGAAAGGGAAGAAGCGAGCTTCATCTGGGCAGATCAGTGACTGATACTGCCGTTTGTCATGATGGAAAATGATGGGGCAAAACAGGCTGTGGCACAGAACCACAGTCCTGGTTGGTATCTGTTTCCTCTGGAATGGATGCCCAGTAGCCCTCCCAGAATAGAGGATGAGTGGGCCACTGGGACTCGGTGGAAAGGCTGTGGCCGAAGAAATCAGTGTGAGTCACCCAGAAAGGGGTGGAACTTAAGCCATGGCTCTGCTCAGATGTGGTCTTAACTGAAGGCCGTGGGCTGGATGAAGTCACCTGATTTCTTCCCAAAGAATTTGGTTCTCAAAGTGAACCAAATTTTAGTAGATTTAGAGGCCCAGTGTTTGGAGTCAAGCTAACCTAGGTCTGAATTTTCTCTCTACCACCTACTTGCTAGTTATGAGACCACAGGCAATTCACAGAACCTTTTTTCTTTGTTTTGAGATGGAGTCTTGCTGTGTCGTCCAGGCTGGAGTGCAATAGCACGATCTTGGCTCACTGCAACCTCTGCCTCCCAGGTTCAAGCGATTCTCCTGCCTGAGCCTCTTAAGTAGCTGGGATTACAGGCCTGTGCTACCATGCCCAGCTAATTTTTTTATTTTTAATAGAGATGGGGTTTCACTATGTTGGTCAGGCTAGTCTTGAACTCCTGACCTTGTGATCTGTCCATTTTGGTCTCCCAAAGTGCTGGGATTACAGATGTGAGCCACTGTGCCCTGCCCCACGTAACCTTCTTGAGCCTCTCTTTCCTCTGATTTAAAATGGGGAGAGAACCCCTCTTTCCCAGGGTGACAGGCAACACAGTGCTCAGTAATGTTCATTCCCTTCCTGATCCCCTGTGACTACCATTTGTTTCCTCATCATCATTCTTCCAAGAAGTTTTAAAGCTCTGGATCTATTTCTATCTTGCATATATCCAACACATGCATGCACCCATTCAGGCATTAACTGACTCTTCTAGGGATCAGCCCTGTGCTAGGTTCTAAGCATGCAACTATGAAATACAAATATAAGCCCAGGTGCAGTGGCTCACACCTGTAATACCAGCATTTTGGGAGACCGAGGTGCGGGGATCACGAGGTCAGGAGTTCCAGACCATCCTGGCTAACACGGTAGAACCTGTCTCTACTAAAAATACAAAAAAGTTAGCCAGGCATGGTGGCATGGGCCTTTAGTCCCAGCTACTTGGGAGACTTGAACCTGGGAGGTGCAGGTTGCAATGAGCCGAGATCATGCCACTGCACTCCAGCCTGGGTGACAGAGTGAAACTCTGTCTAAAAAAAAAACCAAAAAAGAAATAGAAATATATGGTTCCTGCCCACATTCAGCTCTGGCCCAGTGATCCGTGATAGCTCTCCGTAAAACACAACATATTAAGACCAAAAACAACAAATATGCAAACCACACTAAAGATGCAAACCAGAAGGAAACAAATTGCTCATGGGAGCTCCAGTGTGTCTAGTGGTAGGAAAGAGGAAGTATTTCTCGGCCCTGATCTGTGGATTAAGGAGTCTTTACATTAGAGGGGCATTAATTAATGAAATAAATAATATGCTTGGTAACAATATTTATTTTTAAAATATTAAAACATGTCCAGGCGCAGTGGCTCACATCTGTAATTTCAGCGCTTTGGGAGGCCGAGGTGGGTGGATCATGAGGTGAGGAGTTTGAGACCAGCCTGGCAAACACGGTGAAACCCCATCTTTACTAAAAATACAAAAATTAGCCGGGCGTGGTGGCGGGAGCCTGTAATCTCAGCTACTAGGGGAGGCTGAGGCAGGAGAATTGCTTGAACCCAGCTGGTAAGGTTGTGGTGAGCTGAGACAGCACCACTGCACTCCAGCCTGGGCAACAGAGCGAGATTGTCTCAAAAAAAAAAAAGAAAAAAAAAAAGTGCCCTATATACTCAGGTCCAGGATGTGTTAAATCATAATTATAGAAAGGCAATTATATGAAAGAGGCTCAGGGTGATCTAGCCCACGTATGCATCGTTTTGATGATTTGGCTTTGCATTAGGGCAAGGCTGGAGAAATGTCTTACAGCAGTTTAAAAATCTGTTTTTTTTCCTAGGCCATCCGCCTATACTGTGAAGTCTCAGAGTGAATTCTTTTTCTTTTCTTTCCTTCTCTCCTTCCCTCCTTCCTTCCTTCCTTCTTTCCTTCTTTCCTCTCTCTCTCTCTCTCTTTCTGTCTCTTTCTTTTTTCTTTTTTGAGACGGAGTTTCGCTCTTGTTACCCAGGCTGGAGTGCAATGGTGCGATCTCGGCTCACCGCAACCTCTGCCTCCTGGGTTCAGGCAATTCTCCTGCCTCAGCCTCCTGAGTAGCTGGGATTACAGGCACGTTCTCTTTCTTTCTTTGACAGGGTCTCACTGTCACCCAGGCTGGAGTGCAGTGGCACTATCTTGGGTTACTGCAACCTCTGCCTCCCAGGCTCAAGCGATGCTCCTACCTCAGCCTCCTGAGTAGCTGGGCCCACAGGTGTGCACCATTATGCTTGGCTAATTAAAAAAAAAAATTTGATAGAGTTTCACCATGTTGCCCAGGCTGGTCCTGAACTCTTGACCTCAAGTGATCCATTGCCTCAGCCTCCCAAAATGTTGGGATTACCGGCATGAGCCACTGCGCCTAGTGAATTATGTCTTTAAGTATGAAAATAGGCAGCTAAGATCATGAAAAGGATATAGACACTTTTGTGACTAGAAAAGGCAAGTAACATAACTTTGGCTTCCATGACATTGAAATGGAACCCTAAGTAGGTTGCTGGGATGACCCTCCCTTAATACATCAACCTGGAACACCCACTTGGGACTGCCTGGCCTTGGTCTCTCCCACTCCACCGAGCGAAGCCTTAACTCTGATCGCCAGACAGTGAATAAGCCGTGGATAGGGAAGTGGAGAGTGAGGTGGTGAGGACTTCCTGATGACATCATGGTTTTAGTCAGTGCATGAGAGCAGCACGCTGAGAATGTCTGATGGACTTAACCACACACTCAGGGGCGGAGCAGGCACCCACCTTCATTTCAGTGGGATGGAGTCCAGGGTAAGCCATGTCAAATAACGAGGTCTCAGCTCACGGAGAGGATGGACTCTGGTGGTAGGGGCCTGAACCGAATAGCCCTCTCAGGCCAGGCACGGTGGCTCATGCCTGTAATTCCAGCACTTTGGGAGGCTGAGGTGGATGGATCACGAGGTCAGGGGATTGAGACCATCCTGGCCAACATGGTGAAACCCCATCTCTACTAAAACTACAAATATCAGCTGGGTGTGGTGGCACATGTCTGTAATCCCAGCTACTTGGGAAGCTAAGGCAGGAGAATCCGTTGAACCCAGGAGGCAGAGGTTGCAGTGGGCCGAGATTGTACCACTGAACTCCAGCCTGGGCGACAGAACGAGACTCCATCTCAAAAAAACAAACAACAACAAAAACAAACATACAAAACCAAAACCAAACCAAACCAAAACAAATATCCTTCCCAAAGAGAGCTGGATGGCCTACTGACAGAATTGCAGGCTCAAGAGTGAGAAAGAGCTCGGCTTAAACCCCCGGCTGTGTCACTCCAGGTATGTGACTAAATTCTCTGTGCCTCAGTTTTTCCCTTTAAGAACATGAAGGCAGAGCACAAGGCTGTCATAAAAGGCTGAGAAATAAGCAGGCCGATGTGTCAAGGACTGGGGAGTTCACGCCAGGTCCCGCCGTGCGCCAGTCCCTGCGCTGGTCCACAGCTTCCGCTGTCAAGAAGCTTGTGGAGAGGAGCCAGCCGCACCGACAATGTTGCAGGCCACGGGGTGCTCACTACGTCCTGTCCAGCATGAATAAGGGCTCAGGGAAGACTTCCTGGAGGAGAGGCTGAGGCTGGAACCGGGAAGAACCTAGCTTCTCAGTTCATCTCCAATAAACACAAGTTTTTAAAGCAGAAAGGACAAGGGAAGGCCATCATGCCACAGCGCTGAATCAGGGCATGCCCCCCCGGAGAAACAACTGTCTCTGTAAGCATTCGGCATTAATCCCACGACATCCTGGTGAGCGAGTTCGGTGTGGCAACACCCGATCTTCAGCTGCTGCATCATCGCTGTGCAGGAGTCAGACCTTCAGGCCTCCGTGGAGCAGCTGGGTCCCCACCTCCAGGCACTGCCCGGCCAGAGCATTTCACCGCAGTACGGGGCAAGTGCAAAGGTGACTGCTGAGCAAAAGGAACTGCAATTGGGGTCCCACAAGGCTGTGGGGAACCTTGGTCTCTGCAAACACTCAAGAGTACATGATTCTGGGAGTTCCTGTATCTGGGTCCCAAGTCTTAACAGTTCCTAGAGCTGGGTCCCAAGAATTCCAAGGTTAGTCCACAAACTATAGAGAGAAAGTCTATAGATACCTCTGGAAACCTGAGTGGGAGGGATTCCTGTCATACCTCAACACAGTCATTCTATCCTACATCCCCTGAGTCTAAAATCACGTGTCACTAAGCGGCACAGGGAATGATAACAACTCTATCAGTCTCTGTCTCCACAACCCTACTGCTATTTGCTTAGTGCTCTTTGCTCCCCAAAGAGCTTTCACCTAAGTGCTTTTACTTCTCGTCTGCCAAGAAATGTGCTAGTCCAGACCTAGAATGGAATTCCCTACCATTTCCTTGCCCCTGAAATGCTGTGAGATGCTGATGTTATTTCCATTTTACAGATGAAGAAACCGAAGTGGAAAGGCTGAATGGCTTGTTGGTAAGTGTTGAAACAGGAACTCCAAGCACAAAGCTGGAGTTCTGCTGTCAAACAACCCATTTCTATTTAATCCATTTTATTCTACATGCTTTTTTTTTTTGAGATGGAGTTTTGCTCTTGTTGCCAAGGCCTGAGTGCAATGGCACGATCTCAGCTCACTGCAACCTCCTCCTCCAGGGTTCAAGCGATTTTCCTGCCTCAGCCTCCTGTGTAGCTGGGATTACAGGCATGTACCACCATGCCCAGCTAATTTTGTAGTTTTAGTAGAGATGGGGTTTCTCCATGTTGGTCAGGCTGGTCTAGAACTCCCGACCTCAGGTGATCTGCCCACCTCGGCCTCCCAAAGTGCTGGGGTTACAGGCATGAGCCACCGTGCCTGGTCCCTCTACATGCTCTTAAATATGACTTTTTAAAAAACCTTTCCTGTTCTCAAACAAAAACACACACACAAAAAATGTGGCCAAATTGAAAATAATACTATGTGAGAATCATAAGGTTGGGGGGCCAAGGTGGGCAGATTGCTTGAGGCCAGGAGTTCAAGACCAGCCTGCCCAACGTGGTGGAGACCTGTCTCTACTAAAAATACAAAAATTAGCTGGGCATGATGGTATGTGCCTGCAATCCCAGCTAATTGGGAGACTGAGGCACGAGAATTGCTTGAACCTTGGAGGCAGAGGTTGTACTCCAGCCTGGGAGACAGACTGAGACTCTGTCTCAAAAAAAAAAGAAAAAAAAATCATAAGTCAGCTTTATTTTTGAGATAATATATAGGCTTATTGTTAACAGATATATTTTAGGAAATTATTCTAACTACTGTGCTTGGCTGGGGCTAAAGTCTCAACAACATTATCCTGACTCAAGCCAGTGCAGAGAGCCTTCCCAGGGCCTGAAGCTTGCACAGTAAAATTCAGGCAGTGGCCAGAACACAATGGACCTGGAGCTCCAGTCTAAAGAAACAAACATAGCCAGGACAATCTAGGAGGAAGAAATGAGACAATGTGTCATGGACATTTCTAAACAAAGAGAACCCAGAACTACTCATCACTCTAACATGCATCATGGGAAGTGACACGACTTTATGCTCAATCAGAAACCTCTAAAGTCAGTTTCAAGAAGGCCCTGAGTTCTAATCTATTGCTGCCCAAATGCACCTGGTTTTTGGAACCCTGCCCATCCCACCCATAAGTTCCCATGAGCCTCTACTGCTATCACTCCTCCTGTCTCCTGATTATGTTTTAGACTGGTTTGCTAGGGTCTTCTTCCACTGACTGATCTCTTCTGGGGTCAACAAAGTACTTTTTTGAGGGTTGGCATCAGGCTGTGTGCCTAGTGCTGAGGCATCACAGTGAGCAGAATGCAGCTCTGGCCTCCCGGAGCTCGGGGGCAGGCGTGGGTCCTGGCTTGTTGTTTCTCTGCTGGCAAGTGCATCTGTTCCACAGGTGCATCTGATGCCAACCCTCAAAAAAGCACTTTGTTGGCCAAAGGACATTAGAAAATCAAAGTGTGTAATAAAGAGGATGCACCTCAACGTGATGTCCATTCTGGGAGTTGCTACTCCCATCCCGGGACTTGGTGGTGAGAAATGTGCTTTGTATCAGTCCCTGCTCTGTTCATATCTGACTCGAGGAGAATATCACATACTTTAAGAAAGAAGGGCTGTGGAACAAAACAAACTAGGAACCCCTATTCTTAGCAATGATTTTTGCTTTTCAGAGAATGAACACAAATAAATTCAGTAGAAAGAGAAGGTTGGAAGGCCAGGAGCCAAGAAAATTATATTCACTAAAGAAATCTGACATTTCAAATATGTCAGAAACTCAAAACAGACCAAAATGTACTAAGAATGTCTACATTTTGCAATCATTAGGCTGCAAAGCCACTATTCTTCTAGAATAAATAGGATAAGTTACTAGCCTTAGTGACCATCAAGATATCTACAGTCTCCAATATATTATCTCTAAGTCCATACCCAGATTCGAAGTGCTGGGGAATTCCAATTCTAGGTCCAGCAAATTTCTGAGCAGTGGACAAGCAAGTCACACATCAAAGGGACTGTTATCAGAAGTCAATTGAGAACTAGTCACACCTGCAATTCCATTCCTGCAACAAATCCATGATAAGAGCATAAGAAATGTCAAACTGAGTCAATGCCAGTCAGTCTGGCTAACTCAGGATTCTATGTTATTACAAGAACAGAGCATGGTCCTCTGTGGTCATGGGAAGAAGGGAAGGAAGACGGGGTGTGTGTGTGTGTGTGTGTGTGTGTGTGTGTTATGTATATTTAAAGATAATATGATATTCATATAAAATAACATAGAAGGTAACATATATTACGTATATTTTTAAAGATTCTTTAAAATTTCCAATTAAAAAAATAATTTATCATCATGAATTATCCATGAATTTACTGAAACCTTTTTTTTTGAGACAGAGTCTAGCTCTGTTGCCCAGGCTGGAGTGCAGTGTCACAATCTCAGCTCATTGCAACCTCTGCCTACTGGGTTCAAGAGAGTCTGCTGCCTCAGCCTCCCAAGAAGCTGGAATTACAGGCACCTGCCACCACACCTGGCTAATTTTTGTATTTTTAGTAGAGACGGGATTTCACCATGTTGGCCAAGTTGGTCTCGAACTCCTGACCTCAGGTGATCTGCCTGCGTTAGGTTCTCAAAGTGCTGGGATTACAGGCGTGAGCTGCCATGCCTGGCCTTATTCTGTTTTGAGGGTGTGGTTGAAGTTCCCTCAGCTTCTTCCTGAACAGATTACTAATTTTTTCCTCATGTATTGTTTTTCCAGAAAGCCCACTTCCATGTTTACAGTATTCGGGAGGTGAACGGAACTTAGAGACACTGAAGTGTCTTTTCCTCTAGTGTGAGCACCCATCTCTGAGTGACTACCAGAAGGAAAGGCTCCACTTCCTTCCCCCCTCCACTCACCATGCCTTTTTCTTCCGCCTGTGCTTGGACTCAATCATGCGAACAATGGCTTCCTCTTCGTAGGTGTGACCACACACTTTATTTTTCACTGGCTTCTTCATTTCCAACTGTAATCAAGGAGATGTTGATTTCAGGAATTATAATGATCAACTTCCAGTAGCTGTTTTTTCCTAGTCCTGCGCTATGTTTAACTCCCCAGTCTCCTGGCTTTAGATAATGATTAGGGTTTAGATAAGGAAAAGCAGGGAATCCAGTCAGTACTGTCACTTGGCCTGTGGGCCAGGACTTTAGTCACAGATCCTTAAGGGCACCATTGGCTGACAGCTCTCTCCAGCCCAAGAACCTCCCACGGATTCTCTTCAACCCCCAGCACTTTTCTTTTCTCCCTCTTTCACTCCCTAAGTGAAATCCAACCAGAAATCAAACCAGTGAAAGCAAAGAGGCACCTTTCTGCCTCTGTGGAGTGACTCGTGTTTCTTTCAGGGGAAGGAGAAGGAAGCGGTACCTGTGTAATGGGGCAGATGAAGTTGGTCTGACTTTGGGTCACAATCATATCTTCATCCACTCCTGTTCCGTCAGCCTCTCTGTCAGCTTGAAGACCATCTGGAGGAAAATGGAGAGTTGGTTAGCCTCTCTGGTCTAATGTCAAAGAAAAGGAAGGAACGGAAGGAGGTGAGGTGAGGAGTTTCTAAGGGTGCATTTGGTGTTGGCCCCCATGTAGGCACTGGATGAATAGAAACTCTTCTGCTTTCCAGAGGACACTACAGGGTACCACATTCTGAGGTTCACAGCAGTAAAAAAAAAAAAACAATCTTTTTAAAGTTACAGAAAAAGTGACCAAGAGTGTGGCTTCAGAGTGAGAGAACTGACCTGTTTATCTCTTTCTTGTCCAGCGGTGAGACGCTGGGCTAGCAAAGTGCCCCCCCTTTTAAAAAGGCTCTGCTTTACAGCCTCGTTGCAAAGATGAAAAGAGATGAAGAATGTGGTATGCTCTGGACAGCTCACAGTACAAAGTAATAATCAATAAACAGTCATTACTATTCGATAGTACTTTTACTATCAAACTTTTTTGATAGTAAAAAAGCTTCTAAAACTTTTTAGTTGTAGGTATGAATTCTTTAAAGCTTTTTCTATGTGGGTTATATTTATCAATATTTAGCGGATTAGACATTAAGACGGAGGAATTTAAAATTCATTAGAAAATAATAATAATCCCACTGCATGTTACTAATGTTACTATAAACAACATTTAAAAAGTTCAAATTGACCCGGCGCGATGGCTCACGCCTGTAATCCCAGCACTTTGGGAGGCCAAGGCAGGTGGATCACGAGGTGAGGAGTTTGAGACCAGCCTCACCAACATGGTGAAACCTCGTCTCTTCTAAAAATACAAAAATTAGCTGGGCGTGGTGGCGGGCATCTGTAATCCGAGCTACTCGGGAGGCTGAGGCAGGAGAACCTCAGCCTTGAACCCTGGATGTGGAGATTGCAGTGAGCAGAGATTGTGCCATTGCACTCCAGCCTGGGCAATGGAGCAAGACTCCATCTTAAA